TTCTCATGTATTTATTTGCCATTTCTATTTTTTTTTTATATGTATTGAGTACAGGCTATAAAGGGTACAGGGTCTATAGAGTCTCTCTACACAGATTGGACTCGTAGTGATTCTCCTGTTTTCAGCCTCCCAAGAGCTGAGATTACAGGCGCTCGCCACCAAGCCTGGTCTCAATGGACAGCTCAGCGCGCCCGGGGGCGGGCCCAGCACCACACACCGGGATCGAACCCTGGCCATTGCGCTCTGTCTAAACAGGTACTTTACTCTGCTGAGCTATTTGGCTGCCCCACCATTTCTATTTTTTCACCTGAGAAGTGTCTATTCATTTCAGAAGCCCATTTTTGAATTGGGTCTTTAAATTTGGGGTGTTTTGATTTTTTGAGTTCTTTACATGTTATAGGTTATTTTTTGAGTTCTTTACATGTTATGACTCTTTTGTCTGAGGTACAACTGGCAAAAAATGTTCCCCACACTGTAGGTTCTCTCTTCTTTATTGATGGCTTTTCTTTTGTGTCATACCACAAAAGCTTTTTAATAAGATGAGACTCTAGTTGATTATTCATGATAATTCCTCTGAGATTGGGATTTTCTTCCTAAAGTCTTAGCCTACACCAATGTCGTCAAAAGTTCTAGTTTCTTTTCCTGGGAAACACCAGGCGGATGATGCTGGTGCAGCAGAGGGAAGTTGACAGGCATGGGAGGCTGCAGCGGCTTCCACGGAGGCTTCGGCAGTGGCCTTCCAGGTCACGGGGCTTGCAGCGGTAAGGCCAAGGATAAAGAGTGGATTCCTGTCACCAAGCTGGGCCGGCTGGTCAAAGACATGAAGATCAAGTCCTTGGAGGAAATTTAGCTTTTCTCCTTACCCATCAAAAAATCTGAGATTATCGACTTTTTCTTGGGCACATCCCTCAAGGATGAAGTTCTTAAGATCATGCCTGTGCAAAAGCAAACTCGTGCTGGCCAGAGGACCAGGTTCAAGGCATTTGTCGCTATTGGGGACTACAACGGTCATGTTGGCCTGGGTGTAAAGTGTTCCAAGGAAGTAGCCACTGCCATTTGCAGGGCCATTATCCTGGCCAAACTCGTCATTGTCCCCGTGAGGAGAGGCTACTGGGGAAACAAGATCGGCAAGCCCCACACTGTTCCTTGCAAGGTGACGGGCCGCTGTGGCTCTGTGTTGGTGCGTCTGATCCC